TTTGTTTTGATGCTAAATCTCCTATGTAGTCCAGGCTGGCCACCAAACGGAGCTCTTCCTGCCTCAGCCTTGGAAAGACAGGCAGGCACCAGCACCTGCTAAGAGTGTTTAGTTTTCTTGGTTGTTTTCACTCTAGGAGACAAAGCCACCTCTCAAGCATCAAGTGATTCAATGGGTCTTAAGTGGCCATGAATGTGAAAACAGTTCTATTGAGGATACCAGGACCATCGGAAGAGCAGGTGTGAGTCACTGGCTCTCATCTGCAGCTTCAGGAACTCAAGGAGAAGAATACAAAGACCGAACCTGGAAGTGGGAAATTCTCCTGACAATTATCTTCCACTGAGGTCTGCCCGAGTGGTTCCTGTTCTTATTCTCTGCAAAGAGTGACCCCAGAACAATGGAACCCATTCAGCCAGTCTTCAAAGCTGTGAATGCTAGCACCCATGCTACTAGGCTTCCTGAATAAATAAGCAGTGGAGAGCCTGTGGTAGCCTTGCTCTCTTTGTTTTAATAATAACAAGGTTTTCTGCGGGACTCTCATTGATTTGATTACAATGGCCGTGACATTCAAGCGACTCCTATTTTACATGCAGTGCTGAGGGGACTGCTTGTTTGATCTTACTGTTCACTCCACAAAGCAGACACTTATCAGTTATAACTGCAGAAAAGAATCCTAGAGAGCCTGGGCTCATGGCACCTTTGGGGACCAGCACATCCTGTGTCACTTGCAGAGTTGAACCCCTGAAACCTGAGTCAAACTGTGACCTGCCCCCTCAGAGGACTGTGATGTCAACAATTTGTCCCTCGCATTTGGGAGGTAATAAACTCTACAAGGAGAGGTGTGCTATGGGGAAATCATGACACTGAGTTTTCTGGGTTCTTTTAAACTTCTTTGTTGTTTGAAAATTCCACACATGAGAATAATGTGTTTTAAACAAAGCCACCCCCTATATGCTCCCCCATTAGTTTCCCCCATCTCTCCCCCTACCACTTTTTATTCCCAACTTGATCTTCTAACAACAACAAAAAAGTCCACCTACTGCCACCTATGTGCACACAGGCAGAGGACAGACCACTGGCACATCCCTGAAGAAAACCGAGTGTCTCTCCCTAGCAGTCATCAGATGCCTATAGATCCTCGGTTAGTGACAGGATTCCATGCATCCCTCCCATAGCCATACTGGGGTTTTGGCTGTCTTGATCTTAAGCCCATAGTCACAGTCACTGTGAGTTTGTGTACACAGTGGTCCTATCATACCCAGCGAAAATTGTTCTACTACACTGGCTCTACCAATCTTTCTGCTACCTCTTGTTCAATGACTTCTTGGTTTGGGGAGAAGGAAATATGGTATCTAAATGTCTCATCTAGAGTTGAACACTCCACAGTCTCTTCTCTGAATGTTGATCAGTCTTGGGTCTCTGTACTAATTGCCACCTACTGCAAGGAGAAGCTTCTCTGATGAGGGATGAGGGATGCACCAACTTATGAATAAAGATAAATACCAAGGAGGCAGCAGTTTATTACTATGTCCATTCAGCAGAATAATAGCATTAGGTTCTACCCTAGGGCCAATGACCTTGGTAGTCCCACACTTTTGGTCCAGTTAATGGTACCAAGAGTTCATGAGCTCCATCTTACAGATCAAGACTTAACTCTAACCAGAGAGATGACACTGGGCTGGTTTGTTGGTTTGTTTGTTTAAGGCTGGTAATGCTCTGGGTGTGAAATATCCCCCACAGGTCCATGTTTTTGAACAACTGGTGTTAGGTTGATGGCACTGTTTGGGTAGCTTTAGGAACCTCTAGGAGTGAAGTCTGGCTGGATGAAGTAAGTTGTCATGAGTGGTCCTTGACAGTTATAGTCCAGCTCCATTTCTAGCCTGACTGCTGTTGTCTGCGCCTCTAAGACCGTGGTTCTCAACCTGTGGGTCACACCCCCTTTGGGTCAGATATCCTGTATATGAGAGATATTTATTTACATTACAATTTATAAGAGAAGCAAATGTATAGTTACGAAATAGCAATGACAATAATGTTATGGTTTGGGGGTCACCACAGCCTGAGTAACTGTATTAATGGATCATGGCATTAGGAAGGTTGAGGACCACTGCTCTAAGAGAAAGAATTCCCTGTGGCATACTCAGCCATGAGAAATTGAAATCCTCTCAAATCATGACCCCTGTCCCCATCCTCCTTTCCTTGAGTTGTTGCTCTCAGGTATTCCATTCTAGTGACAGAAAAAGAGAAAAGCACACAAAGGCTCACTGTCATTATGGATATTTATATTGAGAAAGGGAAAGGAAAAAGGAAGTCACCCTAGTGGTAGAGATCTGTAATCTCAGCAGAAGCGAGGTCAAGGTCTGAATGGGAGGGACGTGTTCAAGGCCAACCTGGGCAACTTAGTGAAACCATGTCTCAAAATAAAAATGAAAAAAATTAAGCTAGAGAGATGACTCAGTGATTAAGAGCACAGACTACTCTTCCAGAGAACCCAGGTTCAGTTCCCACATGGCAGCTTATACCTACCTGTAACTCCAAGATCTGACACGCTCACACAGACATACATGGAGGCACCAATGCACATAAAATAAAAAATAAAACAAGACCTTTCTAAAAAGTGAAAAAATATTGAAGGGAGTTGGGGATATATATAGCTCTGGGGTAGAGTAGAGCTAGACTGTGCCAGTGAGGGGCTGAGGGCATGACTGAGCAATAAATCACTTGCCTAGCATCAAGGAGATCATGAAAGAGATGCTATCAAGACCATAAGCATATGCATTTGATTCCAGCCTGGGGCCATGTTGGAAATGTTCTACACCCAAAGTGACTTTGGATTCCCTTCCAGGATAGCCTACTCAAGTCCTAAGGCTGTGAGAGACATGGGGATCATGGGGACATGTGCTACAAAAGTAAAAACAAGTGCACTGGGATGTGTTACTGTGAAGACTAGCATTTCAGTGGCATGGATGTTTAGTGCTGTAGAAAAGTCAACTTGAGAAGAAAGGTCAAATACTAAAAGACTCTGGTCAACTAGGCATTAATAATTCTCACTAAGATCTCCTCTACATCCGTTAAGGAAAGCTAAGATGTTGAATGTGGTTGTGAACATTGGTATTCCCAGCCAGGCAAGAGGATCACACATTTGAGACTAGCCTGGTGTGGTGGTTAGTTTTATATGTCTACTTGCCACAACCTAGGGTCACCTGAGAAGAGCGTCTCAACTGAGGAATTATCTAGACCAGGCTGTAGACATGTTCATGGGGATTACCTTGACTTTCAATTGACTAAGATCACTGTGGGCAGCACCATTCTCTAAGCTTGTCCTTGAAGTATGTAAGGGTAAAGAAAGCTATCTGAGCAAGCTAACAAGCAGCAAGAGTGCATTCATTTCTATTTTGCTCTTGACTATGGATATGATGTAACTAGATACCTCTCTTTTTTTCCAGTTTTTTGGGACAGGGTTTCTCTGTGGCTTTGGAGGCTGTCCTAACTCTTATAGACCAGGACGGTCGTGAACTCCCTAAAATAATGGGATATAATCTGGAATTGTAAGACGAATACACCCTCTTTTCTTGGTTGCTTTTCGCCAAGGTATTTGTCATAGCAACAGAAATGATGCTAGAACACCTGGGGTGTGGCTCAGTAGTGGAGCACTTGCCTAGAACTCCCCAGTGAGGAGCTGTGGGTGTGGCTCAGCAGTAGGATGTCTCCGTAGAATCGCCCAATGAGGGGCTGAGGACATGGCTTAGTGCTAGAGTTCTTGCTTAGAATCCCCTAGTAGAGAGCTGGAAATGTATCTGAATGGTAGAGTGTCTGCCTAGAATGCACGAAGCCCTGAGTTCCATCATGAACATTAAAAAAAAAAGACAAAAAAAGATAAAAGAACAGAGAGGAGGAGAGGAGCTGGGCATGTAGCTCAGTGGTAGGGTGCCTTCCTAGTGTACAAAGTCCTGGATTTCATGTATAGAAAGAAAAGGAAGGAAGGAATAGGGAGAAGGAGAGATGAGGGAAGGAGAGGGGAAGGGAAAAAGAGAAAAGGTAAGAAGGGGAGAGAATAAAGCCCTGAAAATATAAGATTGACAGCCCAAAGGAGGGGGGATCAGTCTCAGTAAAAAACATAGACAGTAAGAGATGGTCCAACGCTCTTGAGCATTCACCATCGTGGAAAACCAGTAAAAAGTAAACCAAGGAAATGGAAAACTCCATTCACTCCCAAATACCCAACCCCAGGCTCCTCTGCCCAGTGGGATCTTTCAGGTTGACTGAAGCCAGATATCTAAGTGGATTAATTGTTATTTATGACAACATTCTGAACTATAAAGCATGGGTGGCCTCCCATCACTTGTTCACCACTAGAGAAATTGCATAACAGTAATCAACAAATAAGTGGAATTTGCCTCCCTGCCAAGGAGATGCTGCTGTCATCATCCTACCACAGTCATCAATTAAAGGATTAAATAATGAATGAACTGGCGGAGTTCAACTATAATCTTAGACTCAAACTTCATGAGGGAAAACACAGGCATAGATACATCATGTGCAGAGTATCTCAGGATATGTGCGTCTGTCTTTTTTCTCTGTCTGTCTCTCTGCTTTAATCTGTCTCTGTCTCTGTCTGTCTGTCTGTCTGTCTCTCTCTCTCACTCTCTCTCTCTCTCTCTCACACACACACACACACACACACACACACACACACACCCCTTATGCTCCATGACTTCTCTTGACATTTGCAGTTTTTCAGTTAGGCTGTGCGTTCTTTACTAAAGCAGCTTGAGGAAGGACACGGCGATTCTGGCTTACTGTTTGATGGAGGTCAGGTTAAGGTGGGGAAGGTAGGGCTGTAGGAATGCTAAGCCACTGGTTACACTGTACCCACAGTCAGGAAGTAGAGAGACTTGAAAGCAGGAACTCAGTTCTCTTTCTCCTTTTAATTCATCCCACCAGGATCCCAGCTGCCCCCCATTAAGGGTGAATTATCCCACCCCAACTTAGAAACTCACTCAAAGGCACACGCAGAGGTTAATCTCCTGGGTGACTCCAAATTCAGTCAAGTTGACAAGTTTAAGCATCGCAGGTAATGAACTTACTAAAATCATAAAGGGAGACGGATTCACATTAGAATAAAATGGTTTTGTTCTTTTAGAGAAGGAGCATTGTGGTCATCTTTGCAGCAATCCCTAATTCCTACCTAGAATTAGACCAGGGAGAGACAGGCATTCAAAACACCAGGCTAGCCAGCATGTCATGGTAGTTCACACCTGAAATCCCAGCATTGATAATAAGGCAGAGGCAGAAAGATAGCAAATCCAAAGCCAGCCTGGGCTACACAGTGAAAACCAAGCCAACAGGGATCTGTTTCAAAAACAACAACAAAAAGAAAAAAAAAAGGCAAGACAATTAGTGTCCCATGTGGAGCAGTGGCTGGGAGGAAGGGCAGCAAAGCTCATTGTTTCCTAACCACTAACACCCACAGGGCAGGGCAGTGGTGTTTGCTCCAAAGGAGGGGAACGCTGAGTGGGCATGAGTTCTGCCAAGATGTGGGCAGAAAGGACATGGGTCTAGAATGGGATACTGAGAGGTGGTTGGAGAAACTGATTGGTCATAGGAACGGGGCAGACTCACCGACCCCTCTCAATGATGCAGGCGCTTTCCATAGATGAGCTCACTGAGCCTCACAGTCACCCTATATTGAAAATACAATGATTAATCTGACCTTTAAAAATGACAAGCCTGCCAAGCCTGGAGGCTCAGGCCTGTTGTCCCAGCATTTGGAAGGCAGAGGCAGAAGAAGGATCACGAATTCCAGGCTAGCTTGAAGAGCACAGCGAGGCCTGTCTCAAATAACCCACTTCCAAAATTAAACATAAAGACAGCAAGAGATCTGGCTCTCAGGAGGTTCAATAACTTATAATAATAATAACAACAACAACAACAAAAATCACTTGGCAAGTAAAGTAGAAGAAAGTTAAGCTTCAAATTAGGCAGGCAAATTACAGAACCCAATTCACAGCATAGCCATCTGCTGAGCTCCACTTTTGATTGGTGTGTGTGTGTGTGTGTGTGTGTGTGTGTGTGTGTGTTCATGTCGGTGTATGTACTTGTGTGTGCATGTGCATTTGGAAGTCAGAGATCAGCATCGGGTGTCTTCCTCAGTTACCTAAACACGATTTATTGAGATAGGGCCTCTCACTGACCCTGGAGCTCACTGGTTCTAACAGGCTAGACGGCCCCCACGCCTCAAGGATGGACCCATCTTGGGCCTCTCAGCACCGTAGTTATAGACACGGGCTTCTATGTCAAAGTTTTTACATGGGTGTTGGAAGAATTTAAACTTGAGTTATACTTGTATGGCAAGCACTTTACAAGCAGAGACTTCAACCCAGGCCCATTTTTAGAAACATTTCCTCAAGATTCATTTTAGAGAGGGAAATGCCCATTATCGTATAGTCCATGAGTCTTCTTTAATACCATAGTGAGAAACATGCTACACATATGTAAATACACACTCATACATTCACACATACACACACACACACACAGAGACACATACACACACAGATACATATACACACAGATACACATATAGACAGACACACAAATACATACGCGCGTGTACAGGCGCACACAAACACATATACACAAAGACAGACACACATACTCACATATCCACATGCGCACAAACAGGCGCACACATGTAGACTCACAGATACATACACAGACACAGACACCCACATGTATACAGATGTGATAGTATGTACGGATGTGCTCACTTACCCACCTGTGGTCAAGGAGGGAGCCTAAACTTTTACTGGATGCCTCTACTCTTCATTTGTCCCCTCCACCCACACGGCAGCTTACCCTGTGGAAAGACAGGGCTGAGTGAAGCTCTCACGGAACCTATTCCAGAACTATTGCTATAGCCTCTGACAATTGGAAAAGCATTAGAGGGCGTGTGGGGAGATGAAGCAATAAGCAAGAGTGACTGCTAGGCAAGTATGAGGACCAGAATCCAGATCCCTGGTACCCATGTAAAAAGCTGGCTGCACCTGCACAGGACTGGCCTAGGCCCTCGGCACGTATGCTATTGTGTAGCTTGGTCTTCTTGTAGAACCCCTAACAGTGGGAGCAGGGGCTGTCTCTGACTCTTTTGCTGGCTTTTGGGACACTACTGATACCGAATCCCCTTGCCCAGCGTTAATACAAGGTGAGGTGCTTAGTCTTACTAGAACTTGATAAACCATGTTTTGTCACTATCCATGGGAGGTCTGCCTTTTCTGAATAGAAACCAGGGAAGGAGTGAATGGGGTATGGGGGTGGGGAGAGATGCAGAAGAAGAGAGAGGGGAAGCCCAAGTCAGGATGTACATAAGTAAATATTTTTTTTAAAAAGCTGGGCTAGCCCGGCTGTGATGGGGCACGCCTTTAATCCCAGCACTCGGCAGGCAGAGGCAGGTGGATCTCTGTGAGTTCGAGACCAGCCTGATCTATAAGAGCTAGCTCCAGGACAGCCTCCAAAACCACAGAGAAACCCTGTCTGGAAAACAAACAAACAAATAAATAAATAATAAGCTGGGCTATCATCTCAGCCCTGTGCCAATTGGAGACAGGAAAACTTGGGAATTGCTGGCTGCCAGCCTACCTCCAGTATCAAGAGAGTAAAATGGAGTGAGATAGGTCAGAACATCTAATGTCCTCCTCCAGCCTCTTGTGTATACACACACACACACACACACACACAGAAGAGAATAATCATTGGAGGATTGCTCCTGCCCCCAGCACACCACAGATAACACCACCTGGAAGTCTTTAGTGTCTTAAGAGCCAACAAATTTGTGGTACATAACAGAGTGGCATACAGTACAAGGCTGACAAAAAAAATCTGAGTGAGCCATGCTCCATTACCACCCTCTCCCAGCACTTCCCCAAGGGTGCGACGGCTGGGTGTGCTTGGAAAACAGAAATAAGGATCTTACTGTGAAGACAACAATGAGTCAGCCACACTGAGGACTGGGCTGTGACAAAAATGACTAGAAACATCAACTTAGAGGACAGGCTTCTTTATTGTTGCTCATGGTGTCAGGAGCTCGGCTACAAGGTCACTTGGCTCCATCGCTCCCGGGTCTATGAAGAGGTAGAGTCCAAAGATGGAAGTACAGGGAACAGGCAGCCGCTCACCTTACAGTGGACAGGACGGAGGGAGGGGAAGGGGAAGTGAGGGGGAAATAAGAGAAGAAAGAGGAGCGGGGAGGAGAGGAAGAAGAGGTAAGGAGGAGAAGAAACATCAGTAGCAGCAGCTAGAACAAGATGCAGCCCCCAGGGCATGCTGCTAAATATCCACCCCTTCCCCCAAACTCACCAAATTACGAAACCCTCAATATAACCATCCATTAACAATATGACAACAACCTTTGTGATCCAACCACTACTCAAAGGCTCTGCCTCTCACGCTGCTGTACTGGGGGCCAAGCCTTCCCCACAGGAACCTTTGAGAAACATTTGAGATGCTAACTTCGGAGCTGATAGACACCCTATCCCCAGGCTCTTCTGCTCTTGAGTCAGATCAAGGCAGGAGAGTCTATCCCACCTCCATCCCTAGCCTCCCTGACAGATGTCCCAAGACATGCCTTGACCATGTTAGCAGTGACTAAGGGTGGCTCTGGACAGAGTCAGGCAGAGCTGGGCTCCAGAACATCTTAGGAATGAGCAAGGCCCCAAGGCCAACCCTGGTGCCTAAAGCAGCCTGCAAAGTTTGCCCTTGGCCTGCCAAAGGTGTCTGGAAGTCTTCCTATGCCTCACAGTTCCCATCTGGGCCTCTATGGAAGCTTCCCACACAAAGACCCAGTGTCCCTCTGCTGTTTGATGGAGAACAGAGCTTCCCTGGATCGCCCAACAGACACTCTCTTCGAAACACAAACAGCAACATCCAAATGGTTCGGGTGTGTCTTTCATTACGATTCCCTCACACAATGAGTGAGTTGAGTCCAGTGTGCCTTACCGAAATCCTATACATCTCTGAAGGCACTAATTCAAAGAGTACAGTCTACTGGCCCTTCAGGGACTGGTGAGATCAAAAGGAAGTCCGGAAAATGGGAACCATTCCTCCAGAAGACTGCACAGTGCACTGGATATCCATGCATGAAAATGTGATAATACAACTGACCATTTTGTACAATAACTAAATGCTAAAATAAGCAAATAAAAGAATAGACACAGCTCTTTGAATGCCAGTGTGTACTTTTCTAAAAACAGTGCAATTAAAAAGCATCCCTCCCCCCCAAAAATCTTAACAATTATTTTATTTGACTAGTAGTTTTGTGAGTCAGGAGTCCGGCCGGGTTAGGCATAGACAGACAATTCTGAATAGGAGCCTCTCACAGAGTGGCAGTCAGATGTCACCACAAGTACTGTGGTCATTCCAGGACTCAAGCGGCCTGGCTGTCTGCCATGACTCACACAGACGGCTGGCACTTAATGCTCCTGACAGCTGGCCGCACAACGGTGTCTGAGCCCACGGCCTCTGCAGGGTGGTCAGGACTCTTACGCAAAGATAGTGTCTTCCAGAATAAGTGTCCCAAGGCACAAGCTGGTGGCTTTGATGACTTAGCTCCAGTAACAGCTCAGCATCACATCTGCCATGTTCTATTAACTGGAACATCCGCTAGACCCACCCAGATCCAAGAGGGAGAGACAACGGCTCTCACCTTTCAGTGGCAGAGTACCAAAAAGGTTAGAGACACTTTTAAATCATAGACAAGTAACATTATACAGACTGAGCAAGTTGTATTTATGTATTTATGAATATATATACATACATATATAGTGCATATACACACATATATATGTAACAATTGTTAAAGAAAAACAGGATATAAATTTGAAAGCTAGCAAGGGTGGATACATAGGAAGGTTTGGAGGGAGAACATAAAGGAGGAAATGATGTCATATCATAATCCTAAAAAATTAAATAAGTAATCACATTGCTAAAAATAAGTACAATAGGGACTATGTGTATAGGTCAGTGGTGGAGTTCTGCCTAGAATCCATCTGTGAAGGCCTGAGAGCATGGCTCAGCAGTGGAGAGACTGCCCAAAATGCCAACAGTGAAAGGCTTGGGTGGCTCATGATAGAGCACCTGCCTAGAATCCCCCAGTGAGGGGCTGGGGTGTGGCTCAGTGGTAGAGCACCTGCCTAGAATCCCCCAGTGAGGGGCTGGGGTGTGGCTTAGTAGTAGAGCACCTGCCTAGAATTCCCCAGTGAGGGACTTAGGGTGTGGCTTAGTGATAGCGTTCTCTTTTTGTAACAACCAGTTGACCTGGTTACTTCTCCCTAAGTTGTTTTCATTTCAGTAGCCAACCTCCTACACTCAGCTCCCAGATCCCAATACCACCACTAAGCCTGTAGAGCTGAAAGAGAGAAAGGTAGTATTATCCCAGAAAAGAGTGTTCTAACCTGTCTTCTTATGGGCTGAAGGCATATTGCTCTCTTACCCAAAAAACAATGTACATAACTATTAAATTAGAGCCTCAAGCATGTTCAAGAAGCCAGTACTTCAAGACACTGAAGGGTCTTGACTGTCATCTTGATTGGCTTGGAAAACATTTAGGATTGTGAAGAATGCCTCTGAATATTTCTGTGATGAGGACATACCACAAGGTTTAATTCCTTGATGGGACTATAATATGCT